TATGACCTGATTGACAGGCTAGACTCCACCTCTTCACTCAAATCGACAGAGATTATGTAACTGCAACAGCAGTCAATCTTGTAACCAATACACTACCCAGGTGCCTAGTTAGTATAACCATTTGTAAAATTTGCTACAGAAATGTTAATATACTTGATTTACAGGCTCTATGAAATCTGACATCTGTATCATTTATTTCTTTGAAATCCAAAAAATTGAATTCAGAAATATATCTGGCACCTAGTGTTTGGAACCAGGAACTGTAGAGCAATGTCATACAAGAGGGTTACAAATCAACATTTCATCTCAGTGACAAGAGCTGTCTAGAAAAGCCTCCTGGCCCTTGGGGACAGCATTTAATTCTTATAATTAATTATGAGCTATGTAATTAAGATCGCATACATAACTGAATCAAACCCCGTCAATTTAAGAAAAGCATGCTTGTCAAATGCAAACCATTTTGAAAACACACCCTGCTTCCCGAGGTGCCTTTGCAGAACATCACTCTGTGTAAGACTTTGGTCTGGGTCCTGGCACCTCCCTAGAAGAGTGAGACTAGTTCGCTCGTTCCCAACCGTGTTGTCTAAAACCGGTGCGATTCCGTTAAAACCAAATGGGGTTTGGTTTCCTCCTTACAAGCCCATTCGCATGTTGCTTATATTGAAGGTGCCACCGGCATTGAGGACCGCCTACAGGAGGGAGTCCCTGAATCTATAGAAGCCCTTCAACGAGCCCGCATCCGGATCTGGATGTTGACAGGGGACAAGCAGGAGACAGCTGTCAACATCGCTTATGCGTGCAAACTGTTGCAGCCGGATGACAAGATCTTTGTCCTCAACACTCAAAGCAAAGTAAGTGCAAGGAGACTCGACCAGCCCCTCTGTTTTTGCAGAGCAGTCGGATCATTCGGGACTTGCTTTGTTTTTGTAAAAAGGAACAAACCGGTAACCATTAGCTTCTTGGGCATTTCTTTATTGCAGCCAGTGACTTAGCTCAGGCATGTGAAGGGAGCATGCACAGTTATTCTAAAGTGTAGCAGAAAATTGTAAAAATGATACACTGGAGTCATTGTTGGAAGAAAAAAAGGCATTTTATGTATTTGTATTTTCTCCTTCATATTTACTAAGATTAGCAAGGTCTTGCCAAGCAGAATCTTGGCCTATAATGAAAAATATGACAAATCCTGAGACAAAGATAGACCTCCCTTTCAATCTGAGAGGAAGTGACCATTTCTATTGAAATCAGATGAACAAATTAATAAATAGTTTTATGGGAAGTCTAAAAATAGGCTCTCGGGATAATATTGCCCTCTAGTGGTACTTCATAATTAGTGCACCTTGAGAATATAAAACATTGGAAGAACTATGTTCAAAGGCAAGCGGGGGTGTGGATGGAGATATAAGGGCACTAACACACGTGTGTGTGTTTAGTGAAGCAAGACTTTTAAAAGCACTGGACGTAGTCTATGTGTTTCCCAGAATTTCCTCTCACTAGCCTTGAAAACATAGGTGCTAATCAATCAGACAGACATCCCATTGTTCTCAGACCATACCTGGTAGTCCAGCGGTACCGTCCCAATCTTTATGTATATTGTTTAGTTGTCAGCCTTCCTCAGTAGTCGAATTTAACTAAGTTTTAGACGTCCCATCAATTCCGGCATGGAATCTGTCTCCTCAAAACGCCTTTTCTTGTCTGGGAATTTGTCACCGACTTCGGTGTTCGTTAGTGATATTTTCCTGATTGGCCTCGGGGCCCCTGGGTGTTAGAAACCGTTCACACCCCGCTGTAAACGGAACGTCTGGCGGCTTGAGTCCCTCTGGAGGCACTCAGAAGAGAGGCCTGGTGACTGACGTCTGCCCAGCAATCAGCGGAAAACTGGATGGAGCGTCCTTCTGCCCAGACACACGTGGGTTCACCAGGGGTTAGAACTGACCTGATGGCAACTATTTTTATTGTTGTTATTGTTGTTTTTAATCGTTTTATTAGGGGTTCATACAACACTTATAACAAGCCATGCATACATCTATTGTGTAAAACACATTTGTACATTCATTGCCATCATCATTTTCAAAACATTTGCTCTCCACCTAAGCCCCTGGCATCAGGTCCTCATTTTTCCCCTCCCTTCCTGCTCCCCCCTCCCTCAAGAACCCTTG